TATCTCGAATAGGTGGTGGTGTGATCTGGATATGAGAGGTTGTGTTGCTGTGGGTTTTCGGGTGACCATTTTACACACAAAAACCATAACCAAACACAACAACACAGCCAAAGGTGAAGGAGGAAAGAGGAAGGAGGTTATACAGTGGAAAGGGGCGGGTCATAGAATACAACTATAACACGGCGGCGTGTGTAGGTCGCAAAGACAAACGACGACTGGGGACAGCCGATGGGGGTAAGTGTTTTGTTGAGGAGAGGATAGGGGTTTGAATGGTGGTTTCAGTGGTGATTTTCGGTGTCAAAATCGACCACAATTTGGCTTTAAAAATGGGGAAATGTACAAAGGGCCAGTAGTCGTCAAGCGGCAATTTGAGGGTGCACTAGGTAAAGAAAGTTAGGGGTTTTGCTGAGGAGAGTGTTAGTAAAGGGTGAATGGTTAGCTAAATCGTTAGTGCTTAATTATTGTTTTTGTTAAGTAGTTTGTTACTATAGTTAGAGCAAGTGCTTAGTTAGTTACTATTTAGCTATCAACACACTATAAAAGTGTTACTGTACATGTGTATTCTCTTCTAAGCTCAATACATATAGATTTCCAGAAACTCTTTTCTTGATTCTTTTTCTTTGTTTTTGCTCGAAAGCTCACAGGTAGCATAGCAATAGGATAGCAGCAATTCACCACAACAACTATTATTTTCGACAACCATATCAACACCAACACAATCAGCTATGTCAACTCAAATAGTAGAACCTAACATCTACTACTACTACCGCAATAACACTAATGCGTTGAAACTACAACATGCAAATGTAGCAAGTATACTAGTCGCACAAGTAAAGAGTGATGAGTAGAGTATTTTCCCACGAGGATAGTGTTACTAAGTACCAATTTCCTTAGTTTAAGTCCTAATTGAAGAAACAATAATTGGATTGATGGAAAATTAACAACTAAATACACATGCAAAACCCAACAACTTAAATAATTAAACAATGCTAAAACAAATGCTAGGGCGTTGAATTCACCTAAATACGCTAACCAAATCAGAATCTATTACCTAGGTTCTAATTCCTTGATTGAAAATCAAATTTCCTAAGTTGTAAAACATACATTCTCATGCTACATTTCCCTACTATCCCTATTAAGCTTCCACACCCAACAAATTGAAGATTAATAGTTCAAAGATTTTAAGCTTTATGGAATTCTATATAGATTTCATAGATCTAAATCTATCTCTAGCATTTGCTTAATCTACGGTATTTATCCCAAGAGGCACAATCACAATCACTTCTCAGTCTATTATGAACAAACACCATTTGAATGGTGATCAAGGCTCCAAAAGTTATCAAGCAAAGAGATAAACACTCAATCATGAAATAAACCCAAGTAAATCAATTCATATAAATTTGAATCTTGTATCAAGATTACATCAAACCCTAGCTAAACAACTCAGTTCATACTCAAAAACGAAATAAAAGAACAAAAACAAATTGAATCAAGATTCATCATTGAAAAACAAGCAAAAGAGGGAGAAATCTTCTCTAATTTGAAGCCCAATCTTCATAATCTTCTCATTCTATGAGCTGCCTCTCAAATGAAGAACCAAGACCCTTTCTCTTCCTTTTCGCTCTAATTATACCTCTCTCACTTAAGGACGAAGCCCTAGCAAGCCAAAACGCGTCGTTTTATTTTTTACATCTGATGCAGGTTTTGTCGCGGTGAAGCTTTTTCCTCACCATGATGAATACTTTCAGGCCAAAGTTAGCATGATAGATTCTGAATCTGGAAACGTGTTAAACATATGAATTGTAGCCCTTTTAATTATCTTTCTGGTAGTCAAGAATCAGCACAATCCGAGGTCTACAGCTCAAGTATGGCAAATACTGAAGCACATCCAAGACGTTTTTCTTCAGTTTCAGCGTACTTTTCATGACTTCAAGCCAAGTTTTCACTTTTGTCCAGTCAGAATTATGTAATGCCCACTTGAGGTACGTAGCTAACGTTCTTCTTTCTTTGCTCTATTTGAGTTGGTTTATTAGTATATTGTTTGGTTGACCTTTGATTGAGTGGTGTGTCGAATACTTGCCCTGCTTTTGGTTGAAATAGAAGAAATTCAGTGTTCCATTCTTCGCCGGGGCGAAGAAGAATCTTCGCCGTGGCAAGAGTGTTGAAGCCACGGAAGCTGTTGGATAGTTTCGTCACGGCGACAGAAGCTTCCTCGTCGCGGCGACATGCCAACCAAAATTTTTGTTAGTGTTTAGATATTTTCTTCCCTAAGGGCAATTGACCTTTCTACCCCTAATTAGCAGGAAAAGTGGGGAGTAAAGTGTAAGGATTTCAGGGAGACTATTTTGTTATGGGGTGTGTTTGTAATGAATCAAGGATATAGATGGAATCCTAAAGAAGAGTAGGGCAAATGGGATGCTTGTGATAAATTTCATTAAAAGGAATTAAGTCATTGCAAACCCTTCTCTTCTTCCTCCATCGCCACTCTCCTCTCTTGCTTCCTCTCAATTTCTCTTTCTTTTTCAAGGAGTTTTAAAGGGATTTTGAAGTGATTTGGGGTAGAAAATCAACCTAAGGCATCCTAAGGTAAGGATTCTTGCTTTGGTTGTAAAGCTTGGTGAGTTTTTGTATATTTGAATATTGAGGGTTTTTGTTCATTTGTTTAGAGTAGAGAGAAAGTCAACCAAACCAAGTGAAAGGAAGAGCTAGTGAAATCTCTCCATAACAAGGTAAGTAAATCCACCCAAGTGAGATTTGAGAATTTTCTTGATTAGGGTAAGTAAATCCCAACCCAAGTGGAGATTTGAGAATTTTCTTGATAGGTTTTTGCTAGCATTATGTATGTATGTTATATACATGTTATGCCATGTTATTGAGACTTAAATGGAGATTTCTAGTGCTTTGTGATTGTTTATCTTTTCAAATATAAGAAGTGAGATGTGGGTTGGAAAGGTAGTTTGAGATGAAATTGAAAGATATTGAGGAATCCTTTTTGGAAGTGTCTTTCTTTGGTAATTTATGGCTATTGTGGGGGTTTCTCCCCTTTTTGGATGGTTAGAGAAAGATTTAGAATTATTGTTATAGTAGAGTTTTATTATGCACTTGAGTTGTTTGATGAAATGTCTAAAGAGGTTGAGTATGAGTAGTGAACCTTAATTCTTGCACATGCATGTTGCATTTCATAAGTGCATAGTGGAGATGAACCATCCTAGGCAATATTGTGCATTAAGAAGTGACCTAAGAAAGAGTAGGAAACTTTGTGTATGCACTTACTCTATGAGTAGAGAACTTTGTGGATGCAACTACTCTAAGGGTAGAGAGAATGAGAAAGCTAGAATAGAGTGAATGAGAAGAGTAGTAGAAATGGGTTATGCTTGTGATCATCACCTGACAGTTATGAGAATCGGTTGATGCTTTGTGATCATCACCCGAATAGCCATTAGAAATGGGTTGATGCTTTGTGATCATCACCCGTAGGTATTAGAAACGGTGGATGCTTTGTGACCATCACCCGTTATTATTGAAAAGGGTTGATGCTTTGTGATCTCACCCGACATTTATTAAAGTGGGTTGATGCTTTGTGATCATCGCCCGACAGTGTTAGGAACGGGTTCATGCTTTGTGATCGTCACCCGAAAGTCATGAGGAACGGGTAGGTGCTTTGTGGTCTCCACCTGATAGTAACGAAAACCGGGTAGGTGCTTCGTGATCCCCACTCGGAGTCACTAAGAAGGGTTGGTGCTGTGTGAACCCCACCTGGCAGTCATGAGAGTGAGATGGTGCTGTGTGAATGCCATCCGGCCATACCTCCGGTAAGATGAGGCCATGAGTAGTAGAAACAACAGAAGTGTGAGGAAAGAATTAAGAGAAATACATACGGGATAACAGATCGAGGGTTTTACTTATTGAGCATTATTTTGTGCTCACCCCGTTATTTTCCTTTGTGGATGCAGGATCTAGGTGATGCAGTCAGAGGGCGTCGGCAAGCGAGGAGCAATAGCTACACTGTTTCCCCTGTTTTTGTCTTTTAAATGGCTTTTTGTAAATGATGCTCTATGTGTTAAAAGACGTATTACTTATAATAAAAGAAAAGTTTTGGGCCCATTTTCTATTGTTATTATGCTCATTGTACTAGTTACAGCAGTTGTTACAAATTAGGAAAAACCCAAAAAGAACGTTGTAGCTCTTTTTCTTAGCTCCAAAGCTTCTAAATTCAGGTCATTCCGAGTTTCCAAGCTCAAGTTACACAATTTCCGCTCAAAACTGTCATTTATGCTAAAAATCATTGTTTAGGCCTACAAAGACAAATTAATAGAATTAGGTAGCAATTATGGCCCAAATTGTATGAAAAGTATCCTAAATCCTCATCAAAATTCAATGCAAAATCATAGTGTAAATATGATTATCAAACACCACCACAGATCCAACCATACATAAACATAAACATAAACTTTCTTGCAGCATTTTATAAACAATGTTCATTTTATCAACACAAGTCAAATTTCTTATTATCAAACACAAGCATAGTCCTCTGTAGCAAAGATCAACTACATTATGAATGATGGGCCATTGTAGAGGCATTAGCAATGAGCCAAAAGTAGTATTTCTATAAGAGCTAAAGATAGAATCAGTTATAACACCAGAAGTAGGACAATGAGTTTGTCTCTAAGTAATTCAATTGGAAGTGGACAAGGATTTGGTGAAGATGACAGCTGGTTGATTCTTAGTAGGGACATTATGAACTTTGCCAAAATTAGAACCAACATGTTTTCTATTGTAATGTGCATTTAGTTCAATGCGTTTGTCCTAGCGAAAAACTGGATTGGATGCAAGAGATCCTGCACTCTGATTGTCACACCAAATGACTAGTATTTTAGGAAAATGACAACCATTTCAAAGAACAAACTTCTAAACCATACTAACTCTATTGCTCTTTGTGCAAGTGCTATGTATTCTACTTCTGTAAAAGGTAAAGCAACTACTTTTTGCTTGCATGTGCTCTAGTGCAACAAATTTGAGCCAAGGAACAAACAACACCCACTTGTGGACCTTTTATCCCGAATATTACCTGCCCAGTCAGCAATAGTGAAGCATCCCAAATGAAATCTGGAAATTTTACTGAATGGGATACCAAAATTTGTAATGCCTTTGAGGTATCTAAGAAGCCTTTTATAAGCTTGCCAATGTAATTGAGTTGGGGCCTTAAGAAGTTGACTTAATTTGTTTATATAGTATGCTATATCAGGCCGAGATAATGTTAGATATTGGAGGGCTCTGATGGTGCTTCTATAAAGGGCTGGTTTGTCAAAGAGATCACTATCTTCAAAAGTCAATTTGTTACCAACTGCCATAAGTGTTGAACATGGTTTTGAGTCCATCATTCCAATCTTAACTAGGAGATCCCTATCATATTTTGCCTGACTCATATAGAGACTTGAATCATTTCGGTCAACCTCAAAGCCTAGAAAGTATTTAAGTGACCCCAAAGTTTTCAAAGCAAACTCAATATTCAGCTTATGAACAATCTCACCAACCAAATTAGCATCAGTACCTATCAAAAGAATGTCATCTACATAGAGAACAACATAAATCACTTGATTATTATGTCTGTATATGAAGAGGCTAGACTCTGCCATAGAAACAGCAAAACCCCATTTAAGAAAGGCATGTTTGAGCTTATCAATCTAGGCTCATGGAGCCTGTTTGAGGCCATATAGAGCCTTGGTAAGTTTACACACATGAAAAGGATTCTTCGAATCAACAAAGCCATGAGACTAGGTCATATAAACTGTCTCACTAAGTTCCCCATTAAAAAATGCATTATTAACATCTACTTGCTATATATTCCATCCATAAGTGACAGCTAGGCTTAAGACAACCCTAATAGTAGATGAATTAATAACTAGATTGGAAGTCTCAATATAGTCAATTCCAGGAGTCTGTTGGAAGCCTTTAGCAACTAACCTGGATTTAAATATGTGTATTGATCCATCTGAGTTGTGTTTAATCCTAAACACCCATTTGCATCCAACTATGTTCATATGAGGCTCAGCTGGTACAATCTCCCAAGAATTGTTAGATAATAATGCAATAAATTCTTTGTGCATGGCAGCTTTCTAGGAAGGATGAGAGAGAGCTTCAGATGAACTTACTGGTTTTGTGTCAAGATGAAAAGGTGTAGGTGTGGAAGTGACTAGCATAGAGTTGTGAATTTTAGTTTTGGATTATGTAAGCATAGGATGAGTATTAATAGGTTGAGGTTGAGGATCAAAAGGTAAGTCAACTGTGAGATGAATTTCATCAGGAGAGGAGTTTGGAGAGGTAGAAGACTAGTTATCAAAAGGTAACTCAACAACAAGGTGAATGGAGTCAGGAGATGAGCTATGGAGTTGGGTGAGTGATCTATGGAATTATAGGATGTCCTAGGAACTGAGGCAGCAAGTGATAGGAGCTTGAAAATACATATTTTTTTTAGTGATTCAATTGGATTATTTGTGGAAAAATGTGTTTTTATTGTGAAATTTGAGTTAAATATTTCATAAATACCTTTTATTGGATCATGGTTTTATTTTGAGTATTTTCAGGTTATAAATGATATTTGAATGAACAAGGATGATGTTGATGGAATTTTTGAAGGGTAGGAACAAACGGTGCTAGAATCAGAATTGAAATGAGGAAGTTATGATGCATTGAAGATGGGGCTTGAAACCTGGAAATTCTTCAAGATGAGCATGCCTCGATGTTTTGATCATAACTTGAGCTGTAGAAATCATAATTTGATAATTATTGTAGCGTTGGAAACATTATTTAGAGAGCTACAAGTTTTTTGTTGATGACTTCACCAATTTCTGAATATTCCAGACTTGTGTGACAGAAAGAACAATCGATTCAGTGATGGATTGCGGGCCTATTTAAATTATTTTATTTTCCCAGTCCGAATTTGAATTGTTTAGGGAATTTAATTCTTCCCTAATCAACCCATAAAACCCTAGAAGTATAAATAAGGGTCTTTTATTAGTTTTTAGGGAGATTAGAGAGAGAGAAGCTACTATTTTGGAGATCGGAATTCTTGCAGTTTTCATTCACCAATTAGAGAAGTTTTTCTATTTTGGTTCTTGAACTCGTGTTATTGAATACAATGGTTGTTTTTAGTATTGCAATTATGAACTAAACTTCTTTTCTAGGGCTGAAGATGTAGCCCAATTTATGAATATGTGTTGACGTTATTGTTTTTAATTTTAATTGAGCATTAATTCTAAGTTTTATTATTGTGTGTAATGCTTTCAATTCTTATGGATCCGAGAGTTGAATGATATCATAGGTTGGGTTGAGATCGAGAGATGAAACCTGATTAGTCTAAGGCAATAAAATCATAGATTGAACGAACGCTAGAGATAGATTACTACGATCTGTGAGGCTCGAATAAATTTCATAGAACTTAATGATCTCTTAGCTTCTAAATCTACTTTAGAGATATTTTAGGTTGTTGCTTAAGGGTTAATTCGCTAATTGTTCGAGAGAAAGTAAAATATTAGGAAGTTTGGCCTTTAGAATAAGCTTAATTAGGTTAGCAATAACTATCAATGCATAGGATCAAATTGGTGTGAAATCTATGCCCTAGCTTTAGTCATATTGATCTTTTTACCAAAGTATTAATACAATTCTACCCTTGTTTTAGTTTTTAGTTTGTTTTATTTTTCATTAAATCATTCTTAAAATTTTGTTTTATCAAATAGTAATAAAATAGATTAGTTTGGTACTTGGTAAGTAGTTCTCTTGGGATTTGACACTCGTTTACTTGAGCTTTACTACTTGCACGATTTCGTACACTTGCGAATAGCCTGTCAAGTTTTTGGCGCCATTTCTAGGGAACTATTTTTTTTTACCAATATCAATACGAAATATTTAGTTGCTAATTTGATTTGTTTTATTTTTGCTTAGAAATTAATTTTTATTTTATTTTGTTGTGTTTGTTTCTTTTATTTAGATCCTGGAGAGCTTACGTTCTAAAGGTGGGAGTGATCTTAACCCCTTCAATTCTGAGATCGAGAGAACAGCTAAACAGTTGAGGAAAGAAAAGAGCCAAGCCAACTTAGAAAAATCAATGGCTAACAGGGGAATTATAAATCAAAACATGGAAAATCAAGAGAATGAGAATTAGGAGGTGGAGCGGTAGTGGTTCAAAGAGTATTAAAGGACTACTCTAGTCCTACTGTTGACGGGTTCTATTCTAGCACTAGGAGACCACCAGTTTAAAAGAATAATTTTAAGATCAAGCCAACAATTATTCAAATGATTTAGTAGTCGGCCCAATTCGCAGGGTTGCCTAATGATGATCCAAACTTGCATATCGCCAATTTTCTGGAGTTATACGACACATTCAGGCATAATGGAGTATCTGACGATGCAATTAGGCTAAGGCTTTTCCCATTCTCTCTTCAGGATTAAGCTAAGGCTTGGTTGATTTCTCTACCATCTGGGAGCATCACGACATGGAACAAGTTAGCTCAAGCATTCCTTACTAAATATTTTCCACCTACCAAGTTGAGAAGTGAGATTACCAATTTCTACCAACAAGACATGGAGTCATTGTATGAAGCATGGGAAAGGTATAAGGATCTCTTACAGAGGTGTCCTCACCATGGGTTACCAATCTAGTCGCAAGTGCAAACATTCTACCAAGGGTTGCTACCAAATACTCAAGCCATGATAGATGCTACAAGTGAAGGAGCCTTGAGTAACAAAACACCAGAGGAAGCTTACAATTTGATTGAGGTGATGGCAAACAATAATTACATGAAGACTTCAAAGAGAAATTCAACAAGGAAAGCAGCGGGAGGGCACAAAGTTGATGGTTACACTGTATTGGCTACTCAACTTTCAAACATCCAGAAGCAATTAGGTAATGTATTAAAGATAAATGCAATTGAATCCTCTCCTCTAACATGTGAACTTTGCGCAGGTAATCAATACTGTAACGCCTACTTGAGGTACGTAACTAATGTATGTTGAATTACCCTAAATGTTGATGGTTTGCCCTTGATTAAGCTTGTATGTTGTTGCTATTGCTTGGTTGGCTCTTAATTGAATGGATATGTTAGTTTGGTGGAGTGGTTGCCTTAAAAATGGTGAAGACTTGGCGAAAATTCGAGTTACAGACTTCGTCGGGCCGAAGAAGAATCTTTGCCGCGGCGACGTAGGTTCTGTAATTCTTTGCGGAGTCGAAGAAACAGTCTTCGCTGCGGTGAAGAGTCAGCTGAAATTCTTTGTGAAGCTTCTAGAGAATTTTCCATAAGGGCAAAATGACCATTCTACCCCTAATTAGCCGAAAAAGTGGGGAGTGAAATGTAAGAAAATTTCATGGAGAATACATTAGAGTTGGGATCGTGAGTGCAAAGAATTAAAGGGCAAAGTTGGAATTTCCAAGAAAGTGTAAGGGTAAAATGGGAAAGAGTGCTTATAATATGAGATATTAAGGGTTTAGTCTTATAAACCCCCTCATTTCTCTTCTTCAACCGCCACTTCCATCCTTAATTTTCTCTCAACTTTTTCACTCAATCTTCCAAGGATTTTGAGGGCTTTTGGTTAGAAATTGATAAGGAGTTGATCCTAAGCAACAAGAGGTAAGAATCCTTGCTCTAGATATGAGTTTTATTTATGCAAGAGTTGAATCCTTATTAAGTTTATGCTTAGGGTTTAAGAGGAAGCTTGAGCCCAACAAGAGTAGAGAGCTTTAGTGGAAACTACTCAAGCATAAGGAAAGTAAATCCACCTAAGTTAAGATTTAAGTGATTGAATGATGTGTAGAGATTGTTTATATGAATCTAGCATGAGTTCTTTATGCTTAAGATGAGTAGATGGAATTGATATTGAGTTTGATGATGGTTCATGGTTAGATTTCCACCATGAGAAGGGTTGGTTGTTTTGATAGAATTTGATGGAAGTTTGGATGGATTTAAAAAGAATTTGAGAAGAGTATTTGGAGTGTGTTTCCTTGGCAGGATTTGTGATGAGTCAAGGGAGTTTTACTCCAATTCTGGATGGTTTAAGAAAGAAGTAGAATTATAGTTAAAGTAGAGTTTATGTATGCATGCTTATTGTTTGATGAAATGCCTAAGAGAAGCATGAGTATGAGTAGAGAACCTTAATTTTATGCAACATTGCATATTTGCATTTCATGAGTACATTTAAGAAAGAATTCTAAGCATGAGCCATCCATATGCATATATTTATATATGTGTAATAACTTAAGAAAGAATCATGAATTGTGAGAATAAAACACTTTACTAAGAATAAAGCACTCTAAGAGTAAAGAGAAAGAAAGCATAAGCACTGGAGAATAAAAGAAAGAAAAATGCTAAAGAAGAGAAAATAGAATAGGTTGTGCAATGGGGAACCCGTGAGTGATGAGCAGAATATCCTAGCATGTATGCCGCCTTCAGTGAGCAGCCTGAGAATGAGAAGAAGATTTGGTATAGCCCGTGAGAGTGCATACAGATGAGGGCTATACCCGAGAGAGAGAATACACTCACATGGCCAAGGGTTCCAAATCTATGCATCAACCAAGCCCGATCAACATAGAACAAGAAAGAATAAGAATAAGAAAGAATGAAAAATCATGAGAAAAGAATAGAAA